GAAATTCCCGCGCAGTTTAGTTATGTGGGCTTGTAGGGGAGATGTTGGGCCCCCAGAGGTTGGAGAACATTGCATTGCTGGGGTTTGTTGGACCGTAAACCTGTTAATGGTTTGGCCCCAAACTGGTACAGTATTGGTGGTTTTGATTTTTTTTGTTTTTTACTAGGCAATATGTTTGCGTTGCTTTGGAGAAGGACATGGTGGTTGTCTCTAGAGCTCCGGGGACTGGGGAGACAGAGGCAGAGCTAGCTCCATAAGTGCAGGACATGATAGAGGGGTGTTCACCGTTGAATCGAAGCAATTGAATTGTGTAGGCTGATTGTTGGAGATTGATCATGGTTTCTTTGCAGATACAGTGCAGAGCCAAATGGGAGAGCCCTCAGCCCTCGCCCGCGGCATAAATAGCGATGCAGCATGGTCGGAGGCTTGGTCAACACTGTCGCTAGAGGCTGAGAGCACCAGGAGCAGATCAGGAGGCGACGCCATGTTTGTACCATGAAATGAAGCAAGCTAGGGCATCGGACATATAGGCCTAGTACGTGAGGACGAAACTCACGAAAGAGTCAGAGCCCATCGCACTTGCACGCCAGTTCACCATGATACTACCACGCGGTCCACCTTAACGACCAAAATGATATAGGAGTAGTTGAAGAAGCTAAGATCGAGCAATGTTGTTATGTGTTGTGCTCTGCTAACCACACTCCACTCGTTGTTAGTTATCTGCTACTACTATGAGCTTATCAAGGCCTCCGATAACCATGGGCCTGATTTATTGCTCTATTCGTGCCCCTACACTGCCATGTTTGGGGCCATTTTTATTGGGCTAGGTGCATCCTATGACTTTTTATCCCCTTGTGAATATTTGTTGGTCTTCAATATAATTAATTATCCACCTATGCCATTAGAAAAATAATCCAAGGTACGTAATTCCCCAAATTTGCATCAAATTAGCCATATTTGTCACCATTACATTATCGATAACCACATCTATTAAATTAGAAAAACATTCTAAAGAAACTCCTTTAATCTACATCCAAATTACCCAAATTTACCATTGATTAGAAGACAACCTAAAGTAACATTCAACATTTGCATCTAACTTGCCTTTCATTATTAAAAAAAAAAAGTACTTATATGGAAAATAACTCAAGATTTACATGCACAATGTGTGCCACCATTTTAGATCGTGTAATACATGAATGTACAAATCAGTAATCATATCCTCTTACGGAGTATAAAGCAAAACCCTACTACCAATTTTTCTCAATCCAAAGCTCTCCACGTCATCATTTCTTTTGGCCCACGCATCCATCTCCACCAAGAAAAAAAGGCGCGAGAGTTGCCTCCACCTCTATATAGAAGATGCCAAAAAAAACGCACCATCAGTTAAATAAACACACCAATTATTACTCGTGCATCCACCTCCACCTCTGTATTCCCTTCGTCCTTCCGTCTGCAACAAAAGCTGCCGACGTTTATTTCAAGCTCCTATTTCCTCTCGATTTGCCACGTCATATTTCTTATTTATTTCAAGTTCTATCTATCCATGCGTGCGACGTTCTTTGCTTTCAATCCCTGCAGAGTGGACAACGGTTTTCAAAAATGTTAATGCACCTCTTCACTTCCTTGGCGTCTGTCAGCCTCCCACTACCAGAATCTCTTCGCTTCCCCGTCTGCCATTATTCAAACTTGTGTTACGACCCGGCTGCTCCCACGCAGGTCCGCATCTCCTGACTCCTGGTGGGAGCGAGCAGCGGCAGCAGTGTATGAGGCGACGACCCCTGCGGCCCCACGCGACGCACAGGTGCTAGCCCGCAACACCTCCACCACCTAGACCACGTCCGACGGTCCGACACATCCGGCGGCAGGACGAGCGGCGAGACGCCGTGAGGAGAGAGAATCAGGCACCAGAAAAAGGAACAGATAAGCTCATGGTTGTTTACTCTTCAATATACTGTTATTTATTTTTGTATAATAATTTGTTCTTTAGGTATAAGAAGATATGATCATAATTATTTTTTCCCATCATCTTTACGTGTGCTGTTGTTTTCAGTATTTTTTCATGATCGTTGGAACACCGGTCCCTATGAAATTTATATGTGTTTCTAATCTCTTGTTTTCTATCCGCATTCCTATTATTATCCTATATTTTTCTATCGCTGCGTTTTTTTACATTCCCACGTTCCAAAAGGGCTCTTAGCTATAATTTCTTCCCGCTTCATATACATTTTTCTTTCTATGACATATCTAATCCCGCAACAACGTGCGGGGTATTCACCTATGTCAAAAACATAGCTCAAGATAAGATTTCATGTAAACATATGCCAAACACACAACATGGTGTGATGCAAAGGAAAACTATAGATAGGAATTGGAAAGGCATAACGAGTAATTGATAGCTAAACTTTATTCCATATGGAGACACATAAGATGCATCTATATGAGTATTATGTCAAAATATATATATGAAGGAATTATTAGAGAGAACAGATATAAGCAATATTGATTAGCTTAGGCCCTAAGTTATCCATGAATTTTTAACAATTATCTCCTAAATTACTGGTCCGTGTGCAATAGGAGTGAAAAAGTAATTCGTATAAATGTAGGAAATCTATTTGGATGGGATACTAGTCGAATGAAAAAAGTTATTATAAACTGACATGCAGTGTGATGGTTCCAGCACAAATAGTTACCGAGGTATCTTTTTTCCCAGAACTACAGACGCTCACATCGCACGTAAATCCTACCTCTATGAGCATCTTGAAAGACTAGACCGACAAATCATCAGGATTGACGAAGTCACCACAGGCGCCTCACTGTCGACGAGAACATTGCCTTACCGCTGAAAACATAATGCCATTAAACCCTAGAAAATTCGTTCTCACGGAGAGTAGAACCCAAGACCTGAGGCTCGTAACCACTGAGCTACGTGCCCTTCAAGCCCCTTCACGATTAGGGAGGTATTTGTGCTGCTGGTTTTATCACGAGCAACAACATATATTATCTATCGGAAAGGCTAGCGCCAGGCAAGCTGCTGCGCTTGCCCGCACACCTACGCCTGCTCACATGCAGGCCCGCACCGCTCCACGTCCCGCGCCGCTCCATCTCGATCTATGCCTGCACGATTTTCCCGCGCCTGCTGCTCGCGGCCACTACACACCCACGCACATGCAGGCGGGCCCAGCAGCTACAGCAGACGGCTGCTGCAGATGGGTCCCATTGTAATATGTGCAACACCAGATCTACTTTTGCAACATCTAGAGGAAACATTTGCAACATACGTCCGAAATAGTTAAAACACTTGCAAAATACATTTGAAACAGGAGGAAAACACATATGTAGCCATTGCAAAACATATGCAACACTAGATGAAACACTTGCAACATAAGTGTAAAACATATACAACATCTAAATAAAACACGTGCAACATACATCTGAAACAGCTAAAATATTTGGAACAGACGCTTGCAACATACATATATAGCTGGCCATTGCAACATATGCAACATCTTGATATACTTTTGTAACATCCACATGAAACACTTACAACATGCATATGAAACACCTGAAATACTTGAAACATACACTTGCAACATTCGTTTTTCTGCGCAACTTCTTGCTGCTTGGTCGAATCGAGGCTCGTCGATGCGGAGCTCGATGCTGGCATGAAGCTCGATGCCACAGAGTCACCAGTGCGGAGCTCATCGGCGGCGCAGATCTCGGCTGCGTAGAGCTCTCTGGCGGCAGCGCGCGTAGAGCTCAACGACGACACGTAGTGCTGGCAGCGCGGAGCTCAGCGGGTGTGGTTGAGGCCTGCAAAGAGGCATGTGAGCTGCGGCGCGGGGTGAGGAAGCCGATGGGGTGGTCGGTTTGGATGGATGTTGCACAGAGGAGGGCGCTCGAAGGCATGGGAGCTAGCGGCAGCCGTGGAAGCTGGGCGGGTGGCCATGGCGCTCGGTGCCTGCGCGCTCTCGGCAGAGCTCGGTGAGGCGCGAGGCGAGCAAATGGGAGAGAGAGGGCAGAGGTCTCCACACTTGCGCGAAACAAATGGGAGCGAATGGAGAGAGCGGCATGCATCGGCGTGTCGGTCTCCACATCTTTCCTCTCCCAGTTGCTTTGAATGGAGAGACGGAGGAGAGATAGAGACGAGATGGAACTAGAAAAGATACTTATGTGGTGGGTAAAATACATGGACACCATGAGGCCACGTAGTGTCTGATGTTTGGATGCGGGACAAACGCCCGTAGTGAAGCATTATCGATAATCCGTGCCTATTCATACCAACAGGCACAAGACAATCATGGAAGCATGCATATGGATCACCCCAGACATCTTTCCTCCCCACGCCAAAGGGGGCCCATTAGCGCCAGCAGGTATGTGTTCTGATACCTATTTTATATAGTTGAGCGGAGGACGTCATAGCACCGAGAATGCTCGGATAGAGACTGAGATGGAACCTGGTTGCCGAAATAATCTATCTTTTAATCTTTCAATCTTTAGAACTGAGATTTGGGATCATGGTCATTTCTAGTGTTTATTGCAAGATCTATGATTGGCACAGCCAAAGGCCACAGCAAGCCTAATCGTACAGGATGTTTATGTGATTCATTGAGCGTTTCCTCGTCATTAAGACATTAATTGCGTTTTTGCTCCGTATTGTTTTTTAGTTCGTCTTAAGCCAAACTCTAACAGGCTTACAAATCTACTATATTACTACTAGTACTATGTTTATGTTGAAGGCCCTGCATAGTTTCGCTCCAGGTCTTTCAGGACCGGCGCTTCACATTCCAAATTCAAAATCTTCCGTTTCGATAACAAGGAAAACACAACTACCCAAAGATAAAAAAAAATGGAATTCAAAACATCATTCAACACTGAGCACCTCAAGAAAATCAAGGAAAGAGGTGCAGAACATATCAAACAAATCTCCAATGTACATGGTGCTGGCCGGCACCCGCTTGCATGCAGATAAACACAAAAGCTGTGCTGCAAGATCGATATCACAATGGAGCTGGCGCCGCCGGTGAGCCGCCGCTGGTTTGGTCCTGCTGGTAGAATGGCAGCACGGTGTAGACAGTCTGCATGACAGTCATGACGAGGAGGAAGACGGCGGCAGCGAGGGACATGAACGCCCAAGGGCTCCGGAAGTAGGTGTGGACCAGGTTGGCGCGCCACAAGTTCCACGGCTTCCCGCAGTAGGCGTTCACCTCCCGCTGCACAGCATCCAGCGAGCTCTGCGGCTCGAGCACGACGTCCTTGGAGATGCTGTTGAACAGCTGCGCCACCGCCTTGTCGCTGCCGATGGCGTTCTGGATGATGCCGCTGGTGCTGAGCAGCGCCACGTCCTTGGCGGAGTCGATGATGTTGTCCATGAAGAAGACGTACGCGGTCACGTCGTTGCCAGCGCCGACGTGCAGCCGCTCGAATGCCATCAGGTTGAGGAACATGTACTCGGTGGAGTCGTCCACCGACACCGCCGGCATGCTCAGCACGCCGCCGCGGAACCGGATGTTGTGGAGGCTGTCCGAGTTGGTCTTCCTGAACCGGATCCCGGCCTCGTACAGCTCCACCGCCGACCGGATGATGTCCGTCGTATCCGGCGCGATGTCCCGTGACAGTACCTGTGGCGGCTGCTTCGGGCCGTAGAGCATGCTCCGGCGGCGCACGTCGAGCGGGTGGAGCCCCAGAGTGCTGCCCGGCGGCAGCCGGGATGACGGGGACCCGGACATGAACCTCAGCACCATCCTGTTGATCACGTCGGCGCTCTGATGCGTTCGTGGCACCATCCATATGCACAACAGCATGCTTATTCACTTGGCCTCGTAAGTCGTAATACTAAGTAAAAAATGAACTAATAATCTTGTACCGGAGGCTTGCCAGTCTCGACGGCGACGAGCTTCTCAAGCAGGAGCAACGGCAGCTGGTTCTCGAGCATGAGCATGTCGCGGCGGATGTATGGCACCATGTAGAGCACCCCATGGTGGCTGAAGATGGGGTCGTTGGGCGCGTAGTCGCTGACGTTATTCCTCCCGTCCTCCTCGGTGGCCTTCATCACCTCCAGCAGGAAGCAGCCGTCGACGATCATCATCTCCAGGAACCGCTCCCTCCCGTCGGCGCCGCGCCACTCGTCGCCGAGGTCCAGGTACGCGCTCTCCAGCTGCTCCGCGACGTCCTCCACGGCGGCCGCGAACTCCTCCAGCGGCCGCTTGGCGCGCCGGAGCAGGTGCCGCAGCGCGCGCCGCTTGTGCTCTTCCATGGGCAGGAGCTCCCCGTCGCGGCCGTGGTGGAAGGGGCCCAGCGACACCACCTGCGGCTTGTACGCCTTGCGGTTCAGGTCCTTCATGCACGCCGGCACGCGGTAGATGGAGTGGCGCTGCCACCGCGACACCTCCACCGACGCGTCGGCTTCGTCCAGCGTCTTCTCCACGTCCACCACCCACGCCCTTCTGATGCCGCTCTCGCCGGCCATGGCCATCATCTGGTTTGCTACTCCTAGATGGTTAGCTAGCCACTAATTAGCTAGTGTAGAGCTCTATGGCTAGTCTGCATATATATTTAAATGCATGTGAACGTACAGATAGGTATCGTATTGTACTTGTAAATAACTGTCCCTGTTAGTTTATGTGTTGTAAGTTTGACTGAATTTTTAAAAAATATACGCAATATTTATATTTCTAAATAAATTTATTATAAAAATAAATTGAACGATTTATCTAATGATATTAATTTTATACTATAAATATTAATATTTTATATATATATTTAATTAAAGTTGTTTATCAGGAAATGAAAACAATAGTTTTTTATGGAGAGAGGGAGTGGCATATGCGGTTGCTTGTGTTGCATGCAAAGGGCCCGTGATAGGTGCCCGGCCAAGAGGTAAAGGGGCATCCGGACATGCAGTGGCGGATGTACGATGCGGGATAAGTGGGGCTAAAATAATGGAGATATTGATTTGCATGAAGATTTAATAGTAAAATCAAGCTTTTGCTACAGTGATTAGTGGTGAAATCAAGCCATTAGGGGGGCTGGAGCCCCCCAGCCCCCCCTTTGGATCCGCCCCTGCGGACATGTGCACACATGATCGATCCTGTCGGAACTCTGAAGTCAGATGACCAACTGTCTATTTGTTGGAAATTACGGTGCAGCGTGACACGACCACACGACACAACTATAATCGAAACCGTTTACTTTGCGACGACATGTCACGATCACTAACAAAAATATACATTGACCGTGTGGGAGGGCCAAAAGTGAGGGAGGAATACCAGATTTTACAGCGGAAATGCCATTAGAGAGTTCAGGAGAGCAGGGAACATGTTAACGCATTTGCAGGCTTTATGAAAAGAGATAAAGATACTATAGTACGAATCTATAACGAGCTTGATGTGATTATAATTATAAATTACTCCTGAATAAATTAATTTTTAGAGTTATCTTCATTTGACTGAATTTATATAGAAAACAACGCCAAGGTTTATAAAACCAAAATATATTTTTATAATTTACTCATTTGATGTTATAGATATTTGTGTAGTTTTCTATAGATTTAGTCAAACATAAAAAAGTTTGAGTCGAGACACTCTAGAAATTGATTTATATCGAATGATTAAGAGGTAGTATATCAGAAGGTGGATCAGTGGATAGAGATGCATTGGTGGCTGGGGTTTCGTTTTAGCTGGCCGGGGACGCGGAGGAAGCGAGGAATATGTAAAAGGCAGGCCTGATGGCCATTGCTGGGAATGCTGTGAGCATGTAGGCGAAAGTCGAGTGCTAAAGAGGATAGAGTACAGGGCAGGGAAGGTATCATGATCATTGCTCTCGCTATGGTTTCCTATCACCAACGAGGAGGAAACAATTAAAGATGGGAAAGAAGATCTTGCACGTGAATCACGTGCTATATGATCTGTCATCCACTGGCAACATGCGCATCTCCATGAAACCGGTTTGGCCTGGTGGTCACCGTAAACAAATCAAACATGTCAAGGTTTGTGCAAATAATTTTGGTCAATGTTAGAATGTTGGGGGAAATTTTGGAGGATCTTGGAAAGTTTGGTGGATTTAGTGCATGAATTTGTATTTTTCTTTGGTAGATCAACACTCACTACGTCACACATGGTTTGGAGGGGCGGATCAAGACCATTTATATGGGCGGTTTGGCCAGCCGCCCCTACCAAACCGTCTCTACAAATCATGCATTTGTAGGAGCGGTTCCCAGACCGCCCCTACAAATCAATTTGTAGGGGCTGCTGTAGTACCAGCCGCTCCTATAATACCTGTTTGTAGGGGCGGTTCAGTCTAGAACCGCCCCTACAGTACATTTTTCGTAAAAAAAATTCAAATTTACAAATCAAATTAGACTAGAACATACATATGGCCCTGTTTGTTTCCGCGTATTCCCGCGTTCGCGTTGCGAGTGAGCGAGAAAAGCGAGATAATCCCGCCGAACGCCCCGCGACCAACGTTCCGAACCGCGTTTGCTCAAGAGTATTATATAAACTACAAGCACAAGAGTATTATATAAACTACAATTACAAGTCCAATTCACAAGAATATATACAATCCATCATTAAATAGACATAATTTACAAGGTAAAACCAATGTCAAATTCCATACACATTGTTATCGATGGCCTAGAGCTAGCCTTTCAGTCTCACGAATGTGTTGGTACTGAGGATTTCTACCTAAGTCAGACTCTCGATCATGGTAGACGCCTTTGACGTGTACAATCTGGTTCAATATGAAGTTGCAAAGGTCGCCGACGAGCTCTAAGAATTGGTCATCCTTGTATGGGTCTCTTTTCATTTCTTTCTCTTCTTTCCACTACAAGAGAACAAGTTTCGGTTTAGTATTTCATACCATGTACGAAGTTTTTATACTACGGATGAAGAGGTTCAAACTTACCCTTAAGGGGTGTCTCCTGTAGGCACCGGTGTTACTCATCATAGAATATACATAGTATCCACAATGTACACTTCCAGGCTTCTGCTTGGGGCACTGTGTGTTTTGCATATGGAAATGTTAAGTAATGCTTTTGACAGCCATGTAATGGAGTACTGAAGAAGTAAGTTACACTTACCGCACATAGTGTTTTTATAGCCAGCTTTTTCTTCCTTACTAGATCATGCCTTCCGTGATGTTTAGTGACATAGAACCTAAATGGCCAGTTCAAATTATTTTAGCAAATACAACTTGTTAATATCTAAAAGTGAATGTTACAAGTATGTATACAAACATATAAGCTAATGAGGATTGTCGATATGTATACGTCTTGAGAATCGATATGAAATCTTTGTATGTCACCGGGTCCCTATCTATTGAATCAAAGACCCATGCCATGCTCGTCCCGACATCGACGCATATACAAATCCAGTGGTTGCTGCATGGATTTAATCATAGAACTAGGTAAACTCTTTTGCATCGAATAAAATATATCGAACAAAGCTTTAAGTATAGAGTTGAACTTACTCGAAGTTATATGGTAGCCATATAGTAGAGTGCTGTTGAAGAATTTTAAAAGCTAGGGCAATGTATGTCGAAACCTTAAGGGACTCTTCCCTTTGTTTCTTCGTATGGATGTGCTCTTTCTCCCGAAGGGTCTTTCCAGCAGCTAGCTCTTTGTCATCCAGTTTCTACTGTTTAGGGTAATTAAAATTTGTCTGTGCTATAGTTTGAGGGTCTATATACCCGGCTTTCACACTTGGTATTTATTTTATAATGTGCACTTGCATTCTATAAATCACGACGTGGGTTAGTTACAACAAAATTCAAAGATTACATTCATATCATATCGGGAGGACAAGGACTTACAGGCACCACGTGCGAATTAGATTCATCTCCATTGCTCCGAGGTGAAAGCATATCTGCATGTCATTGAAGTCAAAGACAATTTACCGACTGAGCTTCCAAATGTGTCGGTGGGGAAGCATGTTTGTACGAGTTCTATGCTCGTTGGGAGAACACGCAAGTACCAATCATGGAACCTTCTCATTCCAAGTGGTAGGCGCTGGATGTCCCGATTTGGAAGGAATGGCTTGCCTCTTTCATATGCTTGCCTCTTTCATAAGAATAGTGAGGAGAAGGTACTTTCTCTTCTGACACAACCACGTTGGGATGTTGTACATGGTCAAGATCACTGGCCAAGTGCTGTGGTCGCTCATCCTCTCATTGAAGGGATTCATTCTATCGGTGCTCAAGCCAAACTGTACATTCCTTGGGTCATCGCTGAATTCTTTGTGCTTCTCATCGATCCTTTGCCACTGACTACAATCAACCGGGTGTGCAATCTTATCATCATCCACCTTACGCTTATCATCCCACCATGTCATGAGTGCGGCTTCTTTAGGGTTTAGGAAGATACGTCTCAAGCGGTCGGTCACTGGCAGGTACCACATTACCAAGGCAGGAATTCTTCTCTACTTTGCATCATTGCCTAATGGAGTGTCCTTTGGGGACTGAGATTCTTGTACCACCTTTTTTGTACCCTTCTTATTCCTCTTTTTCCCTGTGGAGGCTTCGTCCCCACCGTAAAGGTCATTGTTCTTGTACCGACTGGCCTCACACCGAGGACATTTATCCAGTGACTTGAATGTTTCGCCACAAAAAAGTATACAGTGGTTAGGGCATGCATGGATTTTTTCAACCCCCATTGTCAATGGACTTATGACCTTCTTCGCTTGGTATGTGTTGGCGGGAACTGAGTTTGGTTGTGGCAGCACCCATGACAGAAGATGCAATAGATCATTGAAACTACAGTCTGACCAGCCGTACTTAGCCTTCAGGATGAGTAGCTCAAGCACAAAACGTAGCTATGTCCAATGTGTCGGACAACCCTTTTCAACACCATACACAGTCTCCTTCGATGCTTTTGTCACCTTTTCCAAATTTTCTAGACCTTTTGGGCTCTTTAGTAAAATCTCTAGTCCAAGGGCTCGAATCATGTCCTCCAAATCATCTTCATCCCCGACACATGCTCCAACATCATTATTGGCACCACCTTCATCGTTACCATCCCAACCACCAGCATCACCACCTTGTTCATTGCCAAACTCGGAATCCATTCGTGCATCAAGCTCTACTAAATATTGGGACAAGGATTCTAGGGTTTCGTCGTCGTATTCCTCATCCTCATCATTAACAATAACTGTTTCACCATGATGAATCCACACTGTGTAGTCCTCAACAAATCCTCGCATAATCAAATGTGATCTGATGATAGTCACATATGTCCATGCCATACAGTTCTTGCAATCTTTACAGGGACAAATAATTGTATCCTTATTCTCTGTCAACGTCGTTGCATGCTTCTTTGCGGCTTTAATAAATTTATCCACCTCTTCACGAAAACCTGCCTTGAACCTTAACGAACCATACATCCAAGAGTTCTTGTACTCCATCTTTTACAACAACAACAAAACAAACATTAAAGGACTACTTATTCAGATATATATAAAAATGAATAAAATTAATAATTACTTG